AGCAAGGGCTGGCTGGGGAATTCTGGGAATTGAAGTCCACCCATCTTAAAGTTGCCAAGGTTGAAGAACCCTGTTTTACATGCTTCTGCTCCTCCATCTTCACACATCTGTATAACATTGGTTGACTACCTTTCTTTCCATGTTGCAAAAAGCTTTCCCTTCTTATTTCACTGAAGGAGCTATAAAGTGGATTTTTTTCAGAAATGCAAATTGTGAGGAAATAGTTGGTGTGGATGGAAGCTGATCCGGTCTGGTAGAGGTAGGAGGAGGTATTGTGCCCCAAAAGTAGGGTAGGAAAGGAAGGATTAGAAACCTGATGCACCACTTCTGCCGTTTGCTGTATTTGATGCCGTTGTATGATGTATATTTCAGGGGAAATTTAGGAAAGGGTCCATGTTATCTGGGGAAAGCATATTTTAGGGGGAAATGAAGATGAAATTGCATGCTTTAGGAGGAAATGCATGCAATTTCACTGCGATTGTTCACTTTTTCCAGAAGAAAAATACCAAAAGTATATTTTAGAGGGAGGTGGGATGGAGTAGATTAATGACAGAAAGCATACATATCAAGCACATCAACGAGATGTACAAACACTACTCACAAATTACGTGCAGCATAAGAGCTGGGGAGCGTGAACTGCCCATGCTGTTTTTGGCTTCGCAGTGATAGGTGCCTGAATGGGTGGGGCTCGTTTTCAAGATGGTCAGCACACGCTCTGCAAAATCCAGCAGTTCGTCATTTTTATACCATTTGAAAGTCAGATCCCTGGGGTTTGCTACTTCCACTTCACATTTCAGACTAACAAATGCAAATTCATGGATCCGCCCTTCTGGGTTCCGCAGAATTTTCACCTCTTTTGGAGCAGCTAGAAGAAGAGAGAAGAAAGGAGAAGACTCACATGAAGATGACTTGGCCCTTCTAAATCCGCATCTGGCACTGAGCCCAGGAAAACGGTGCCCTCTTATAACCCATGTTAATTCTACAGCAGGAAAGTCTGGTTGCACAAAATAGGGATTTACTTTTTGTGCCAAAGACTTGTTGTATTTAAGATTCCTATCCAAGCATTTCTACCCTCCATCCTTACCACGATCGTACACCATAGTGGCTGCTTATTGTTACAACAGGGACAAGCAACTGGTGAATTATAGATGTTCCTCATTCCATTTTGGTAGTGCGTGGGGTCCCCCAAAGGTCAGAATGCTAAAATTTAACAACCAAACATTGATTTTGGTGGCATCATTTTCTATTGCTTTAAAACAAAATGCAACCTAGCGTTTATATTTTATGCCTATTTTATTTTACTTAGGAAATCGATATTCTTCCTCAACCAATTCAGTTGGATTCTAGCCAATTTGCATATTATTATTATGGTTGGTCGCACAATCAGCCAGATGTTTAGACTGGATTTGGCATTTTTGTCCATGTATTGAGTCCTTCCCAAGGGCCTGGGATAGGCAGATGTTTAATAATATTAAAGGTATTGTTGCAGGATGTAAGCTGTTCCAAGTAAAGCTGCCTTT